TATGATCCCATAGACGCTATTGAAATAGGATGGATTAATTGGTATGTTTTCTCCATTAATATTCATCCCACACACTTGAAATTCTAATCAATTTCATATAATGCTAATATGAGCTTGTGTGCCAAATTTAATCAAGATTGCTCAACTTGTGAAATTTGTGAAAAAAGATTGCTCAACTTGTGAAAAAAAGCACGACCTTTAATCAAGGTCGTGCTTTTTTTTGGTGATGAGTATATATTGGTGCCGAAGTTGAAATCTTTCCTGTCCGAAATCTCTAAACTAACCTGTGCCATGTGGATTCCAATTTTTATCGGTCGTGTTCGTTCGAACTTAGTCCTAGGTACCCCCGAAATACATAATCGCGCCCTCAAAAAAGTCCGCAAGTTCCTCATTTTTAATAACTATTCTTTACTTCACCGGCAGAACAAATCAGTACTGTCAGTAGGTCTACCAGGTCCGTGCTTTCGACCTCCCGCAAGAGCACCTACCTATGAGACAAAAGGAGTTTATAGGTACCTCATTTATATAAGGTTAGTATTTAATTCGTCACCAAACTCTGTCACGAAGAAGTAATGATTCATCACCAGATTTTATTATTTGGTCACTCAATGAATTTACATCGCCACATTTTTATTACCTTCATCAAATGATTTCATCACCAGACCTAATGAATCTAACACCAAATTTTCCCTCTGTATTTTCACCAGATGCCTTGAAATGACCACCAGATTTTTTGGGTTAGCACCAAATTATTGTCCCATTTCATGTCAAAAGAAAGATTTTCTTTTAGCTGCCCTGCGGGGCAGACAGAAGACAATGACTATCCCGGCTGTGAATTAGCATTCCAAGTGAAAATTTGCAGATGCTAGTCTTGATCTAAACTGGGCATGTGCATTCAAAATTTGGAGCTCTCACAACTCAAAGGGAGAGTATTATTCTCTTCAAGTTCTCCCAATGCTCCGGTTTTCTGATCAGGCATTCTTGGGCACTTTTTCGAACCTATTCCCTTGTGGCGTCGCCGCCACTGCAGGCGATGAAGGCGTCTCCTTGTTTCAATGTCCTCAAACTCTCTAGTTGTCATGACACCTTTAATACGTAGAGCACACAGAAACTGGAAGCCAGCGCCGTACTCAACTCCCTACATGTTCACAAGCACAAGGGGACAAGTTACAAAGGTCCTCCCTCGAAGGCCCCCCAAAGCATATGATCTTACAATCTCATCTTGCCATCGCAGGTCTAACTGGAAATTAAGAAAAATCCTTTCCTTGATAGGTTTGTATATGCTGAAAAATTCATGAGCTTGATGATGCGAGCATATTTTTGGTGTGGGCTAATGCAAATTTGGTGATACCAGCTCCCGTGATGGTGAAATTATATTTGGTGAAATAAAAAATAAAAATTTGGTGACTGACTCCAATTTAATGAAGATTCATTGTGATTTGGTGACGTAGTCAATATTTCTGCGGGCTGAAAATATTTGGTGAAAAAGTTCATTATTATTGGTCGGTCTTTCATTTCCGTAGGTTCCGTGGATATTGAAAGACGTGTTAAGATGGGATCGAGCCTTTCTTAGCTCTTTTCACGTCATCAGGAAGTATCGTCGTTTACAGGTGTTTAAAATTCTCACGCAGTTCCCAGATATCGTAATCGCATCTCCCTCGCCTGAAGCCTCGGTAGTGAATCGATAAAAACCGCAGGGCAAGCCGAGTCCATCTGCACCTCATTTGTTTACATCGATCGAGTAGCTTTAGGATTAACTGTGTCCCGTCGCCTGGACATCCTCTAGCAGCGCTCCTGGAACTCCAATGGCATTGGGTTGTTATACGTGAAACTTTCGAGACTGCGAGACCTTGGGGAAGAAAAGGGGGAAGAGTGCCAATTATTTAGTTCCGACGTGAATCTGAACGTTGTGTGGGTGAGTGGATGAGATGAGGAAAATTAGCACCTTTAACATCTGACACTTTTCCTTCCTACATCGATATGAATCCTCCCAAGTACGGAATCGTCCTGAATCCACGACGAGGTAAAAAATGATGCATGGAGATATCGAGGCCGAAGAGGAAGAAACCGACACATGCTCCTTGCTTCTTGTCTAGACGGCGATGTTCATCTTTCCATAATGATAATGATGATGATGGTGACATCTGGCTGGGGCTCAACTCGGAGTTGGCCTTCAATGTCATTTATCCTAGTCTCCTCCTCCTTGAAAAGCCCACGCAGAGCGAGTGGCAACAGACGAAAAAAAAAGTCTACACGGCCGGGAATAATCTACTGCACAAAATGGGGTTCATCGACGCCGGCACTAAAGGAATTGGTTTCCTCTCTTCAACCACGAAAGCGGCCTTTTATTCTCCAACTTGTCCAAGTCACAGACAAAAAACAGTAAAAATCCAGTTAAGAGAGAGATCGAGATGGGGTATTTACAAAAAAGTTGGGTCATGCCGATGCGGACAAGGGAAGAGGAATCGAGAATCCAGATAGGCAAACAGGCAAGGAAGAGCTGGAATGGGGAAAAAAAGGAACAACGGAGAAAAGATTGAAAACTGCAACAATTACAGCCACGCTGTCACTTCGTAAGTCTTATAAAATGGCGAAGAGAAGGGGAAAACTTCCTCAAAATTTCGTCTTTAAAAACTTCTCATGCATAGAGCAAAAATCCCTCGATAACTCTTTTCTTTAATCTTTTTCTTTCTGGAACTGCTAAGCATCGTGGACATCACTGCTTCGTGAGGAAGGAGTTTGGAAATCGAAAAACAAAAAAAAATTGTAAGGGGAGAACCCAACTTGAGATGGGAGGGAAAAGCACTGGAGACACAAACACCATCGATAGAGAAGGAAAACACAAGCTAGGTCATGGAAGGAAAACATCTAAAGTACTTTGTGTTTTGTCTCATTCACAAGGGAAGAAAAACTGGGTCGCCGAAGAATCAAGCCTAGAATAAGATGAATCAGCCAATAAATACACCTGCTGATAAGAATAATGAGAATCATAATAATAATGATCATACGAATAAGAATAATATGCGGTCGTTGAGGGTATAAATATAAATATAGACCTAAGGAGTGCGTGATGATACGTCCACTACGATGAATGAGAAAGGGGAAAAAGGATATAATACAAATACAGGTAAGTGTACGAAAATCATCGATCGAGATGCAGCATTGATCGCCTTTTCAACAACCCTGCATAATGGCACAAAAACACATGGATTGCGAGACAACTCATGCCAATCTTTGGTTTTCTGCACATCTTTGGTGTGTTTGTGTGGTTTCGTGCTTGCGTAATTTTTATTTACCCAGGGCCCCAAAAAATGAAACTCTTCCTCAAGGTGGAATCAAATGAAGGGAAGTACCTGAGACATGCTCGTTGGATACAATTGGCACAATGACCGTCTTTGATCTCTTTTCTTTTTATCGTGCAGAACTCAGGCCTTTATTGCTGAAGGAGCTCTTCTCATTTTTTGTTCCGCGGTTCATTCCCTCTTCGTATAGGCAAAATATAAGATAGAGGGAACAGAAGGGAAATCCTTCACATCACCACCACTAATGTGTATTGCGCAACATGGAGGTATAAAAATACACCTCTGCTCTTTTTTTGGAATGCTCATTTTTTTGCACTTTTGAAAATCTCTTTGAAATATATTATCATAGAAAAATTTCATCATCTGTGGCTTCGATGCATGAATGAGGGACCATTTCATCAACCAGGTGGGTCTCATCTCTTCTCTTCTAAGTAGATTTTTGTAGCTGCACAGTTGCATAACATCAGTATTTTTTTTTCCAAAATCCTCTCTCTCTTTCTCTGGAATGTAGGGAAGAAATATCAACACTTTGACTAGCTTACAACGAGATCGTCTGGGAGGAACGTGAGATCGTGTTAGAGGCGCTCTCTCTCGACACACACACAAGAATAAAGGAGGAGGAGGAGGAGGAATAAAAGAAATCAACCAACCACAGGGGGGTGGAGAAATGAAGAACACAGGCTACGGTGGGGGGAAAAAACTTAAACCTTTAATACGACACTTGCTTGGAGTTTGTGCAGAGAGAAAAACACAACTACAAGGAGGACAAAAAAAATAGGAAGGAACGAAAGGAGATACGAGACGGCCAAAAACAAAAAAAGAAGCAAGAATAGGAAAACATATGGCAATGGCATGTCAAACTGAGAAAACAAAGAATTTTCTTACATGATCTCGAGGCTGTTTGTTCCCGAGAAGAGATAGAAAATAAAGAAACCAAGTGGGTTCCTACAACACCTCCACCGTATTCTCATCGCACATGGGATGAGACAAAATCAACACAAGAGTCACATGACACGAGGAAAGACAAAATGATAACCTAAGTCCTAATTTTGCATTTCCTTCTTAAATTAGGGCATAACTTAAATTGCCCTCCTCGTGGGAGAGAGAGCAAAGAAAGGAGAATGCGTATGTACAAAAGATATACCAGTTTTCTCTTATTTTTTTTCTTTCTTTTTTTGTAGTCTGGTACGAGTAGGAAAAAACACATCACCGTTGCTTCTGACTAGCATGGGTTTGTTTTTGTTTTGGTTCAAAGGGTCTTCAGCGGACTAGGAAGTTTTTGCTCATTCAGTTTCAAGTCCATTGCACGCTGAGATCATGATGGGACTCTCCTTTTTCCTCATCAACACACGAGACTAAATATTATGCTACCAGCGCGTCGATGGGAGACAAAAAAAAGGGACAGAAATCATGCCACTGACGTCGAGACATATAGGGAAGGAATAATATGCAGTCTCCCACCGATTCCCTTAGACCTAAAGAAAAGGGGAGGAGAAGGAGAAAAAGGAACGAATCTCCAGACAAAATCTCCATAAAGAAGTGAATGAATGAATGGAAGGAAAAAAGGCGGTTGCCTCAAGAGAGCGAGTCCAATCAGTTGTGTTCAATTTCTTGGTCTGTGTTCATGGTGGGGAGGGGGGGGGGGGAAAGGGAATCATTGTTTCAAGCGTTCTTTTTGTTGGTTTTGAAGGAGACCTGGAGGACGCGGTTGCCGAGGGTGTAACCGTTGAGGGATTGTATGGCGACGACGGCCTCATCATACGAGGTCATCGTTACAAACCCAAACCCTTTGCACTTATTCGTCTGGAGATCCCGGACGACCTTGACGCTCTGGACGGCGCCGAACGGGCCGAACAGTTGCCAGAGGATGTTCTCTTCCGTCTCGGGCGCGAGGTTGTAGACGAAGATCACCCAGCCGCTGTTGTTCATCGCTCCGTTTGCTGCACCCGAAAGCAAGGGATTTGCCCCCAGCAGATCCCCTGCCATCGGACTGTACCTGTCGCACATCCCACACATCCACATCCTCCATTCACTGTGTTTCACACATACTCTACTCAATCTGTCTATGCCCAATCCAACATCGGTATCCTTACGTTTTACTTCTTGCTTGTTAACATTGTTTAGCAGACTACCGGTAGCACATCACCATCCATTTAGTGGAATACCTCATTCATACCCACGTAGCAGAATATCCCACTAACAACCATCTAGTACAATGCCTTAGTGACGCCCACTTGGGTTAATATTAAGTTAATACCTATTTAGCAGAATATTGAATGCAGATAACACTCATTTGGGGAAATATCTCCTATAGGTATAACAAGACGTCTGAATGACACCAGAGGAAGTTGATCCAAAAGCACCTATAGTATGTTTCAAACCCAAGCAATGCAGGAAAATATCACTACATGTCCTTTGACATTTTTTATCTCCTAGTTGCAGATTCTTGCGGTTCGTTAATCACAAAGGGCAAATCAAGGATGGCAGACGATGCTCTTCAATGACAGATTATGGAGGACTAACAAAAGAATTCATTGTTATGAAAATAATTACCATTCGACACAAGTACATTTCTCTGTGAAGTCCTGGAGAAAAGGTTTTAATAGATAAATTATATGTTTTTCTGTCATGAATAATTCCCACAATGAAGAGTTCCGTCTGCCATTCACCAAAATCACCTCAGACACTCAAAACCAGGTGCAATTGAAATAGGGAAAAATCAGGCAGGAAAGTTATATGCATACAGACAGAAGAAAGATAATTAAAAATAACTGAAAAGAAACGGCTGTGACAGGAAGAATTGCAAGCAGAAGAGGGGGAGAGGGGGAAGTAGATAAAATCCTCTACCAAATCATGCAGGACCATCCTACAGAAGGCTAAAGTAGTGAATGATTTTAGCAGAAACACAGGCAGAGACTAAACCGGCGAGGAGACTCTTGACTTTTTCTCCTGAAGGAAAGCAAGAAAACAAGGAAATGTGATGGCACAAGCAAAAAACAAACAATTCCGACTGTGACTGACCTTTGAAGGGCCCGGTTTACGAGAACAGATCGTCCATAACTAAAGGATGCAATGCAGATGCAGAACAGATCGAGATCGAAGAGGGACGATTCGACAAAGATGAGATGGGAAAGAAAAAAGACAAAAAAAACATGGGAAACCCAAGGATTACCAACAGATCCAAACATATGTCCAGTCGAGCCAAACTAAACTCAAGAAAAGTTACCGTTACAATAAACAAGCTTTTCAGTGAACAAGCTTTTCGTTCCTCGTGACGAAAGATGACCAATTTGAAGTCTAGGGAAAACTGATGACAAGGGAAGTTCCCAACTGATGCCAAAGTGTGAAAACCAGTGCGATTAAGACACGTTAGGTTGCTTTCCAAGAAAACGAGGCATAGAGAGACATAGAGGCTTTCTAATGACTGAACGAATGACGGCAATGCAAAGTCAAGTACTCGGCACATGAGGCGAGAATAATGAAAAAGGGGGGGAAAGGAAGCGAGGAGACTGAAAGAAGGAGCCAAGGAAGGTAGGACTCTAGAGAAGAGAGAGACCACCCACCTGGTGAGGGGGGAGAGTGGGATGTACCTGAATCGACCAGCCCCGGAAGTGTGATGGATGGGGCCGGCGAATCGCCTCATCTGGGGGGCAGCCAGGTAGGCGGCCAACGGTGGGGTCAGCGCCTTCGGGTTTGTGCTCGGGTTGTTGGCAAACTTCACCGTGATCGGCTCCGCGAATCCCTCGGGGATTTGACCGTTCAACTTCCCGATCGCCCGCTCCGCCTCCATCCGCTGGTCGAACCGGATGAATCCCACTCCTTTTGACAGTCCTGTTCCGTACCCAAACATACCAATGAGCGTATGGGAAAGTGACAAAGAAAAAAAAAATTATTTTCTTCGTGGATGTCTCACCAATGCTCTCACCTGTGATGTTATCACAGAGGATGCGGGAGGTTATGATTTTCCCATAGGGTGTAAACAGAGTTTCCAGTTCCCCCTGGGTCCAAGATTTTGGAAGCCCACTAACATAAAGATTGGCTCCTTTTATCGCCTCGCTGCTTGGCCTCGCATACGACACCTTCGGAATAGGACAAAGAGAGAGAAAGAGATAGAAAAGCCCACCCTCAATTCCACAGAACGGCTCTTCGTAGAGAAAGATGACACTCCTATCGATGCTTTGGATTCTGGGCTTGAGAATGGCCATTTTGCGGTGGTATCTTGGGGAAACAGACCCCTCAATTGTCTCGAGTTGGCCATTGCGTCATATCGTGGACTTCCCCATCCCCAGCTCCGAGTACGATGCCCCCTCTTTCACTCCCCCCTAGAGATCTATGGCCTTATCCCTCATGGGATTAATGTCCTGGTCTGGCATTTTCCAGCGCACTTTTCAGCCCGGGCTTAATCCTGTTTTCGACGGACGCCGACGGAGATTCACTGGGATGGGGAGAGGGAAGAGGGAAAGAGGGGAAAAGGGGTTGGCAAAGAGGAATGATGTGCTTCACTGAGGGTCCATTCAGACAAGAGGCTTTTGGGGGGACTCGGACAAGGATCTTGCATTACCGCCCTTCACGGCCTTCAGGCCTTAGACCTTAATGGATGCCCAACAGAAAGAGAATGCACAAAGGACACCCCCATCCCCAGGCCCCCACTTGTTGAAGACGAGGAAACACGGACCGGCAGGGGATGGGAGAAGGCGCGGAGTAGAGGAAGCTAAGGTGAAAAAGCATCATCTCGTTGTCTACAACTGCCACAAATCCAATTTTCCCATCTCTATCAAAGATCTCCCTCTCCCTTTCAGCCTTGTTTCCTGTCATCTTTTTATCTCACCCAGTTCTACTGTTGATGAATGGAAGACCTATTTCAACGTGATACGATGGTATTAACCCCAAACTTGCGCAAAAGGATAGGCCAAGACTGTCTAAAACTGTTGAAGAAATTCACTTTTCTCGAATCGCGACTCATAATTTTTATAGCCTGAAAGATCTGCGCAATATTTGAGGGAAGGGGTGCAGAGCTTCTCAAAAGCCATCCTCGGAGTTGACGGAGGCAAGCAGTGGCGTAGCGAGGGGAGGGCTGGGGGGGGGGGGGCTTCAGCCCCCCCCAAGTTTGGTTCAAGCCCCCCCAACTCCGGTCTAAATGCATCTGCCACCGCCCTTTCCCCCCACAGGGCGAGGAGAAGTAAGCCTCCCCACTGTTCCGCTTAGCCCCCCCATTGGCGAAACCCTGGCTACGCCACTGGAGGCAAGACTCGACCACCAGTGCTTGGCTTGTCCCTCGCCTATCCTACATCTAAAGTAAATCTAACAATGTTCTTCCAGAGTACGAACGTCTGACTTGACCATTAAAAGTGGGTATAAATAGAAAAGGATTATACTGCCAAATACGTTCTGTTCCTTCCGAATTTTTCTTCCACTGCTTCTCTAATATAAATTTGAGCCAAATCAGCATTACATCTAGATGAAATCTGAAAGAAATGGAAAATGCAGTCAAGTCTGTTCTTCCTCTGTGCAGAAACACCATTGTGCATCTAAGTCGAATCTAAAATAAGTCACAAAGGAATAAAACTTCGTCTAAAAGAATAATATTTTTATAATGCTCTGACACAAGCTAAATGCTGCCTAAAATGTCAAGATGAAGGGAAAAAATACCGCTCAATACAATACATTTAATGAGATATAGAACCGAGAACTGAATGACACTGAGGCTGCACGAACGATTCACTTTCCTGGCTGACCATGCGACCATCTTTTTCTTGACATTTCACTTCCCTCAGTCACTTATCCCGGCAAACGCTAGATACCAAGTGATTTTTCTCTTCACCTCAACATTTTAAACATCATTTAGATCGGGTCAGAGCAGTTCTAATATATGTCCTCTCTTCGACAAAGTTTCATCGTGGATCTGACTCACGGCTTGCGCCATGAGCACAAACTTCCTTTTAGGCTACAATTGGAATAGATTTAATCAGATTTAGATTTAAACTCGGCACAGGCGAGGAACAGGTCCCAGGACTCGAACCGTTCATGGCTCTGCCTTATCTCTCTCTAGACTACTCACTCATTCGCATCAAGAAATAAGAGAGTGCGAGGAAAATAAAACGGAAGGGGGATGGGAGGAAATGAGATCCGAGTTTTGTTTTTTTCCTCTTCCGTGTCTGCCTGGTCTGGTTGGGCCGAAAACAACTCGATTAGCGGCAACGCTCACACCATTTGGGGAATTATGTGCATTTCCCCCCTCAAGTCAGTCTTTCTAGTTCGCTCACTCTCACACTCATTCCTTCGTTTTTTTTTCCCAGCTGATAAAATAAGAGAGTGCGAGGGGGGGGGCAGGGAGGGAGGGAGGGAGGGAGAGAGAAGGAAAGATCTAATTTTCTTTGGTCCCAGATGGAAGAGCGGGGAGCGAGTGAGTGGGTTTTCTCACTTTTGGGAGCGAGAGAGTTTTCTCGCTTTGGGACCCAGCGCTAAATCTTCATCCTCAACTTCTCAAGAATCACCGAACCACTCGCACTGCGAAACCCTTCCGACTAGTTCGGAAAAAGGATGATTCGAAAGAGAAAACGAAAAGATAAGCGAGGAAGTTTATACGTGGGCGGCTTCGCTCACATACCCGATTCAATCAGACCAGATTCAATCTGACGAAGCTCCGAAATGCGATTCCGGATTTGGGGGAGAATTCCGACTGGAGCAGAGAAGCCCGATTGCAGTGTTGCACTACATGTTAACACTGAGTACCCCGAGGTATATATTGATCAGATAGGTTAGAAAATACCATTTGCTAAGGGTTTCTGCGGATTTCTAAGATACAATCATGCAATAAAAATATTGGATAGAAATCGAAATGCAGTTGTTCACTCATCGTTGACGAGAATGCAGAAAGTGAAGCATATCCATCCACGCGAAGTGGCACAACAGAAAGCAAATTAACATGATTAATTTATGCATGGGCTACAAAAAGTTGCGAATATGCACGTCCCTTAGCTTTCACTTTGATCATTTTATATCACTTCCAGAAAGAAGAAATAAAAAAAAGGCGAAAAGGGTCGACTCCTGTGAAGAAGTTAGACGCGGGGCCTCGCTACTAGGAACTTTGGGAGGAATGCATACAACTGACTTTAGCATAATGAAGCGTTAAACTTCCATTAGCACCGCTAAAGGAGGTTTAAAGCTTTATTACGCTAGTCAGTTTTATGCAGTCCACCCCTAATATATATATATTTTTCTTCTCTCTCTCTTTTAACCACTTTTCAGCGTTTGCAAATTTTTTTTCATGAAGGAGTTGAATAGTTTAGGGATAAGTTTTCCTGAGAGATAACGATTCAGGGATCCAACTAAGAGCGCAGGCAAGATTAACGTGAAGGAAGCATAGGCCGGGAAGACCTTTCTCTAATAAGCTCAGCCTAAATGGGTGGGAGGAATACCGGCATGACCCGGGCTTGGATAACCACCTCCTAGGTTTCCTTTTCCTCCTACAGTCATCGCACACATTCGGGCAAAGGAAGGAAAGATTTCTCCATATTTATGGGGCCCACGGACTCCGCCTCTCCTCTTTCCTCCATTATTATCCTCATCGAGGAAGTTCTCTTCCTCCCAGGCCTATCAGGTCTTGGCATTCAGGGTAAGGTGCATTGAAGGCTTTATCTTGCGGTCGAGGCCCGTGCGCGCGATTAACTCCGAATGGGGCACAGTCAGGAGCGAGAGAAAAAAAAAACCGCCAAAAAGGGACACATGTACAGAGTAGGAAATGCGGAGAGTGAGGGGGGAGACCCAGAATAGGAAGAAGGCCTGAGTTCCCTGCCAGGCCTTCCATGAACGATGAGGATGGATTGGACGACACTCGTGCCAAAATCACGTCCCTCTCCCTCCCAAATCCCGCTCTTTTTTTTGTTTAATGCTACACCTAGATATTCCTATGAAATATAAGAAAATAATACATTACAGTACCTTGATGGTTTTGTTCTGTAACCGGAGTCCATTGAGGGTGCCGATGGCCTTTTCGGCATCTTCCGCCTTCTGGTAGTTGACGAACCCGTAACCCAGGCTCTGACCTTTGGGGTAAAGATCCAATGAAGCCATCAAGATCGTGCGGGACCCCATAATCAAATGGAACGTGAGGCAATTACACGGATGTGAGTGCGGTCTATCTTAGCTTGGCATGGATGCAGACGAGGTCCAGGCACGGCATTAGCCCGTTAGGGCGAAAAAGATTCGACAGAGATGGGGCATGAGGGGGGAAAAGGAGAAAGAATTCTGCAATGTGGGACTGTGCACAATACTCGGTTCATTATGCAGGCAGAGCAGAGCGAAAGATGGGGCCACTGACGATAAAGGGAAAGATTATTTCTTCCTTTCTTCCTTTCCCTTTCTGCTCTTTTCTCTCTCTCTTCTCGGACCCTTTTTCTTCTCCCTCCATCTGGGGAGACTGGGTCTCGATCCCACATTAACCATTCTCTATAAGCCTGGAAGAGTTGCATGAATTATGAAACGCCAGCTGCCCCCCCCC